TTCCCACTTGCTTTGATTTCAAGAGATTCAGGACAGCCATTAAATTAACTCATTGCCCACTTGAACCACTCGGATTTATTTCATGAATATATATACGGTCACTGTTATTCCACATTTAGCATTCAAAAGAATGGCCATGAAGGTATTTAAGTTTCAGCACTCTTAATCTCACATTAAAATTCAAAACCTACAAACGAACGAAATCTCAACTTAATCAAAGCCTTTTTTTGAACATTAATTAATCAATCTCCGATGGGATAACATAATATATATCATAAGATATGCTAACCCTGAGTTCATGCTATATAGTTCGATCCTAATTCTGTTTATTCATCTCTAATTAGGATTATCTTTTATATATATTAGATTGTCCTTAAATATACAAGGACCTGATCAATAATCAGTGTGAAGAAAATAAGAATGTTATAAGTAATTCACTCCACATTATGAAGAATCATGGACAGTTTTAGCTAGACAAATTTCAAATGCTTTTATTTCTCTTCTGTTTGTTTGTTTGTTTTTCCTTTTTGTTTCTTTCCTTTAGTTCGGGTTGAGAGAGCAGGACCAGTATGTTAGTTAGAAGATCAAGGTCTTGGTTGGTCTTCTTCAGCAAAGATTTTGATAAAGTGGGCTTGGTAGAACTCAAGCCCAAAAGCTAGTTGAAAGGAGGAGAGAGCCCAACCAAGATTTTGATAAAATGGGCTTGAATAAAACTCAAGCCCAAAAACTAGCACAAGGAATGAGAGAGCCCAATCACATAAATGACGATGTTGGATAAATTCAACTTTAATACCATCCCTTACCATTCCTCACGCTTGGCGTGCAAGGCCGGGTTCAAACCCATCATTGCCTCAAAGGTAGAGAGAGTCCAACCACATATATGACAATATTGAACAAATTCAACTTCAATACCGTTCCTCACACTCGGCATGCAAGGTCGAGCCCAAACCCATCATTACCTCAAAGACATCCAAACAAACGTGACTTTGATACCATGATAAAATGGGCTTGATAGAACTCATCTCCAAAAACTAACTCATGGGAGGAAGGAGTTCAACTACATATATACACCATAACAGCTCACCAACTTGATGATGTGGGACAAATTCAAATTCAACTTCAACAGATTTAACCCGAGTTTAATGCACGTCAAATTATATTTTACAGTATAAAATTAATTTCACAGAGAAATTCTACTGAACCTCAACTCCAATTCAGAATACACCTAATAGGGATGGAAATATACGCTAACAATAATAAGTGAACTGCCACTTGAACATTAATTAATCAAACTGTGGAAAGACAATAGAATGTGAAAGTAGATAGCATCTTCTGCATGCACTTGAACAGATCCTATCACCCAGGAGAGATGTGAATTTCAGCTGGACAAATAAAATCTGAAAAGTGAACAAAAAGGGGAGTTTAGCAATTCAGTATTTAAGTTGTGTGTGCCATCATATCTCAAACTTAGCTGAACAAAATATACAGTATATGCATTTGAAGTTGATCTATATAAAGATGATTGGAGCACTCACCAAATTGACTTAGACAAGCAATTCAGTTACCAATTTCTTTATCTTTTGTATCCATGTCTTCTGTTTGGCCTCCTAGCTTTCTTGGGTCAGTCTCTTTCAACCATCCTTACAAACCACTGTGGTTTTCTTGTTGAGAATATGATATATCCCATAGATAAATCGAGCACCAATCCACATCCATAGCCCATCAAACTAATTTTCCAGTCAAACTTGGTCGACACATTGTGTTCTTCATCAAGTGTCGAAACCAAAATTGGTTTAGGCACTTCATTCATGACACATTTTTTGGACAATGGTAAACCACACAACCACAAGTCTCCTAAATAAGAATCATTTTGAAATGTATCAAATTGCTTTTCTTGAGGTATAGATCCCACAAGTTGGTTGTATGATAGATTTAACATTGAAAGAAATGTGAGATTTGTCAATTCTGCAGTAATCTCTCCTACAAGCTTGTTGGAAGAGAGATCTAAAGCTTCAAGCTCCATCAAATTTCCAAATGACGATGGAATATGACCGGTTAAGGAATTGTGAGAAAAATTGAGAAATTTGAGTGAATTAAGCTTTCCAACAATATTTGGTATTCGCCCCTGGAATTGCTTGCTTGACAAATCAATAGTCGTTAAAATTTATAAGATATGATGTAGAATAATATTGACAATGTGAACCCATATATTGCGCCGCCCCACCAGTATTATACCTGCTCATCATAGCTTTAAAATTTATAAGATATGATATTGGCAAATAGCCAATGAAATCATTATGAGAAAGATCAAGTATTCGTAACTTTGGAAATAGACATCTTGTATTCGAATAGCCAATGGGACCGTGAAAACTCTACTAATAAAACTTGCAGTTTTGGAAGAGTGGCTAAACAGTGAGGAAATGTTTCTTTAATCTTGTGATTTCCGACGTCTAGAACTTCCACGCTGCCCCATTTAGCCAAAGATTGTGGCAGTGTTCCCTCCAACTGATTAGTATTTAAGTTGAGAGTTGTCAAAGCACTGTTCATCGTAAGATCCAGTAGGAAGATCTTGTCATGGTTTCCAAGACATTGTGGACTCCTCTACTCAAGTTCAGATACTCAATAGTGCCCAAACTACAAGGCCATGAAGGGTTCTCTCCTGTCAATTTATTGTTTGAAACTGAGAAGCATTTCCTGGAAGGTGGTAGAAGCAAAAGGGGTCCTTGAAGCAAGTTGGAATGAAGATCAAGAAATTTTAGACGCTTTGCCGATCTATATTGAAAATTTGTCAACAAATTGTGAGAAAGATCCAGATATTGCAATTTGTACCACGACCCTGTCTCCTGTTGGGAAATTCTACCAGAAATTTTGTTATAGGAAAGGTCTAAAATCATCAATTCTGTTGAGTTTCTCAGGAAAACAGGGAATTCGGTTATGTTGCAAGAAGAGAATCCGAAAACTTTGAGCCTGGGCAAGATAAAGTTGACATTGGTTTGGGTTCTTAGTGACAGTAGACTGTTGTTTGAAAGATCCATATCTTCCAGGTTTTGGAACTTTGATAAAAATTCTGACCTAACAATGCCAGTGAAGTTATTTGATGAAAGATCAAGAAAAGAAAGATTCAAAGGTTGAAATATGGGATTTGGAATTGGACCAGTGAACTTGTTGTTTCTAGGGTCTAAATATTGCAAAGATGGCAAAGTAAAAAACCAGGATGATACTCTTCCATTTAGAAAATTATTAGATAATTTGAGAATGGATAGAGATGAATGGCCACTTACTTGATAAGGAAGATGACCCACAAATTCATTGTGTAAAAAGTGTAAATGAGAAACCTGAGTGAGATTGAATGTTGATAATGGCCGTTGACCACTAAAATTGTTATCAAAGAGATGTATTTTAATCACTTTGCTGAGGTTGCCCAAAACATCAAGAAATTGTCCAGAAAAACTGTTATGTGCAAATGATAGACGAGTGAGCTTCCTGAAGTTATATACCAATGTAGGAACTTGCCTAGTAAAATTGTTGAATGTCAAATCCAAAATGGTGACACCTGTGAGGTTCCAAAGTGATCCTGGAATTGAATCCGTGAACTTGCAATAAGAAAGATCTAACAGAGTCAAGTGTATAAGATTTCCGATTGTTTCAAGTAATATTCTTGAAAATTTTGTGAAAGATAGATCTAACAATCTCAAGGGGCTACTCTAGTTATACTCTGGTAAATTGCCTATGACACCTCCGTTTCTAGACAAACTTAGCTACTGAAGAAATGGAAGGCGGAAAACACCATTCGAGAACTCGCGTCGCAGCTGAGTATTACTAAGACTCAGAGATATCAAAGAAGAAGAGAAATTCACCAAGGAACTAGGCACAACGGAAAACATGTTCACATTGTCAAGAAGAAGATATCTTATCACACAACCAGTCCCAACCCTCCCTATCCCATAGGCTTCGGGTGCACCCATGAGACTCGAGTGACCGAGACGTGTCATGTAAGAAATCTATGAAAACCTATTTATGAATTAAAACCATAAAACTCTTCTAGCTAAAACATTTATAAACACTCATATTTGTTTCTCACAAATAAATATAGCATCATTTGCAAATAAACAAATGCAACTGAATTTTCTTTTACAAAATGAACGTATGATATCAGGGTTTTCTATATCTTTTACAATCTAAAACAAATATACGATGAAGAAACATAAACTTTCCAGTGGAAAATGAAACACAACTATCAAACTGATAGGCCCCCTATCAATAACGTTTATCAATACAAGGGCAGAAGGGTGTGAGACGTGTGAATCATCAATAAAGGTGGTCTTTAAAAGTTGTTATGCCAGTAGGATTCAGTTAGAGGAAAGATACGTGGCAGTAGAGTACGTGGCAGGAATATGTGTAAAGTTCACTAGTATATTAAGGCAGTTAGAATAAGGAATAGGGATATCATATTTTCTCTGAAAGGTTGTCAATGGAGGCCCCTAGCTCCTCGAATTGATAGGACTGTCCCTTCTTGTTTTCTTTACTTTTGGTTGAGTCTGATTGTAATCCTCAGAACTGTTCAATCTTCAATCAAAATATTGTTGGATTACCTAGTTGTTCTTGATTTTGTAGATGTGCTGTGTGTGAATTTTTATTGAATTTGCTGGGGTCCCATCAAATTGGTATGAGGGCCAAGGTTTTGGGTAATGGTAAAAGCAAAAATGGAACAGAGAATTATCGGAATTGAGAAGGAGATGGGAAACATGAAAGAAGAAATGGGGAGCATCAAGGGTTACCTCCTTAAGCTTTGAGAATGGACGAGGAATAGAGATGAGAAAGACGAAAGTAAGAACACTGATAAGGCAGGAAGTGAAACACCGGAAGGATCAAATAACCTTGATCGGCTGAAGGGAATTGAAAACAGTAAAGAAGAGCACAAAGTAAAAAAACTGGAATTACCTGTGTTCAATGGCGAAGATCCACTAGGATGGACTTTCAAAGCCGATAGATATTTCCGGATGAACAAATTCCAGGAAGAAGAAAAGGTGGATGTAGCTGCTGTTTGCATAGAGGGACTTGCTTTGAACTGGTATCAATGGGTTGACACCCGAGCACCGATTCTATCGTGGAGCTCCTTCAAGTTAGCGCTGGTGGAACGTTTCAGACATTTGCACCAGGGGATAGCTTACGAGGCTCTGGTAGCGTTGAAACAATTGGGAACTGTGACTGAGTTCAGGGAACAATTTGAGGCACTGTCGGCTCCCTTGCGTGAGGTAGGAGAAGTCCTCCTCATGGGAATTTTTACAAATGGGCTAAAAGAGGAATTACGGGCTGAATTGAGATTGTGCAGGCCCAAAACATTAATAGAATTAATTGAGCAGGCCTATTGTATTGAAGAAAGAAATTGGGTTTTAGAAAAGATCAAGCCCAAATTTAATAGAACCCACATTGCCCAAACCCATAATCAGACCCAAAAACCAGATTATTTCCCATGGGTGTCTTCAAATCCAGATCTGAACCACTCAAATGGGTGGAACACTGCGACGAAAAACGTAGAACACTTGCATGGGGTGAGATCGCAAAATCGAAGCTGGGAGAGAGGAGGAACCACACCAACCAAAAGTGATGGGTTTCGATGGTTAACGGAGGCCGACATCCAGTATAAACGTGAGAGAGGATTGTGTTTTCGTTGTGATGAGAAGTTTGGGCCCAACCATCGGTGTAGGAACAAATCTCTACAGGTTTTGTTGATGTTGGAAGAAGAAGAAGATACTGAGAGAGAAGAGGTAACGCTGGAAGCCGATGATGAACCAACCTCAGAAGGTAATCCTCTTGCTCTGTCTATGACTCTATTGTGGGGATGACTTCAGACAAGACTCTAAAGCTTAGAGGTTTGTTGGGGACAGAGGAGGTAATTGTGCTTGTTGACAGTGGGGCTTCCCATAATTTTATTTCACATGACTTGGTCCATAGGTTGGGATTGAGTGTGGAAAAGGGGAAGGCTTTCGAAGTCATGGTTGGAAATGGTTTCACGATTAGGGGAGAGGGAATTTGCAGAAAAGTTGAGTTAAATATCCAGGGAGTAGAGATACAACAAGATTTTTTTTCCCTTTGAATTAGGTGGAGCTGATGTTGTGTTAGGAGTTGCGTGGCTGAGCACTCTAGGAGACGTGTGTGCTAACTGGAAAAACTTGACTATGGCTTTTTCCAGAGAAGGAAGGAAGGTCACGTTAAGGGGAGATCCTGAGTTAGTCAAAACCGTGGTATCACTCAAAGCTATGCTGAAGTCTGTACAGAACACAGGGGCTGGGTATGTAGTTGAATTCTGCTACATTGAAAGCAAGAATGTTAACGAAGCTGAACAGATTGACCCTGAAGTCTCGGAAGTGATGGAAGAGTTCAGCCAAGTCTTTAACCCACCTACCAAACTACCTCCCAAAAGACCACAGACCATGCCATAATTCTCCAGGATGGGTCCAAACCCTCTAACATCCGTCCTTACAAGTACCCTTATGTCCAGAACAATGAAATTGAGAGATTGGTTGGGGAAATGTTGATAGCAGGAATAATACAGCCTAGCACAAGTCCTTTTTCTAGCTCGATCTTACTAGTGAAAAAGAAAGACGGGAGTTGGCACTTCTATGTGGATTACCGCGCCTTAAACAGCCTCACTATACCAGATAAGTTCCCTATTCCCTCAATCAAAGAATTGTTGGATGAATTGGCAGGTGCAACGATCTTTACTATATTGGATTTGAAGTCCGGGTACCATCAGATCAGAGTCAGAGAGGAAGACATAGCGAAGATTGCTTTTCGAACTCATGAGGGGCACTATGAGTTCCTGGTGATGCCTTTCAGATTGACAAACGCCCCCTCCACTTTCCAGGCCTTAATGAACACCATCTTCAAGCCAATTTTAAGGAAGTTTGTCCTGGTTTTCTTTGACGATATACTTATTTACAGTCCAGATTCGCACTCCCATTTGGAACATATTCGACAAGTGTTTCAGATTCTTAAGGCAAATGAGTTAATAGTCAACCGCAAGAAGTGTTTGTTCGCACAGCAGAAACTTGAATACTTAGGCCACCTGATTTCAGCCAAATGGGTGGAAGATGATCTACAAAAGATTGCCTCGATGTTGTCTTGGCTAGCTCCCCACACCATAAAAGGGTTGAGGGGATTCTTGGGGCTCACGGGCTACTACCGTTGTTTTGTCAAAGGATATGGTCTGATCGCACAACCGTTAACACAACTCCTTCGGAAAGACTCTTTTACATGGGATGAGTCAGCTCAAAAGGCCTTTGAATCCCTCAAAACAACAATGACAACAGTACCGGTGCTAGCCATGCCTGACTTTGATTTACCCTTTGAAGTACATACCGATGCCTCGGGGCAAGGAATGGAGGCTGTTTTGGTCCAAAAATACGCCCAATTGCCTTTCTTAGTAAAGTTTTTTCTTGTCAATCAAAGCAGAAATCGGTGTATGAATGGGAACTCATGGCTATAGTGTTCGCTGTCCATAAATGGAGTCACTACCTCATTGGGCGCAAGTTCATTATTCGGACGGATCAACGTAGCCTTAAGTTCTTGACTGACCAGGGATTAAAGACTCCCGAACAGCAGAAGTGGATTTCGAAGCTTATGGAGTTTTCTTTTGAAATTCACTACCAACCAGGATCCTCCTACCAAGTAACAGATGCACTATCTCGTCGAGAGGAGGTAAGTGAGCTAGCGGCCATATCTATGGCCTAGTTTTCAGACTTTGATGAATTAGCTTCTGAAGCTCAACAAGAACCGAAGCTGCAAACCATTATACAAGATCTATTGTTCGACCCCACTAGCAAACCCCACTACCATCTCCGAAAAGGCTGTCTGCTTTACAAAAATAGAATTGTGCTTCCAAAGTTCTCCAAGTTCATTCCGAAGCTACTTAAGGAGTTTCATGACAGCCCAAGTGGCGGGCATTCGGGTTTCTTTCGTACATATAAAAGAGTGGCCAGCCTTGTGTTTTGGGAAGGGATCAAGAGGGTTGTTCAAGAATTTGTGAAAAGATGCACTGTTTGCCAACTCAATAAACACTCAGCCCTTAAACCAGCAGGCCTTCTCCAGCCCCTACCCATTCCAACTCAGGTATTTGAGGATATTAGCATGCATTTCATTGGAGGTCTACCTAAGTCGTGGGGGCATGATACTGTTCTCATCGTAGTCGATAGACTCACCAAATATAGCCACTTCATCCATCTTTGCCATCCCTATAATGCTAAAGAGGTGGCTACTATTTTTTCATCAGAAATTGTAAGGCTCCATGGTTTTCCGAAATCTATTGTGTCCGACAGAGACAGGATTTTCATTAGCCAATTTTGGCAAGAACTCTTCAAGGCATCGGGTACTATGCTGAAATTCAGTTCCGCCTACCACCCACAAACAGATGGCCAAACAGAGGTAGTGAATAGATGTGTGGAGGCCTACTTGCGGTGTTTTTGTAGCGCTAAACCCAAGCACTGGTCACGTTGGCTTTCTTGGGCAGAATTTTGGTACAATACAACGTACCACGGTTCCACAAGGATGACCCCGTTTAAGGCTCTCTACGGTAAGGATCCTCCTACTCTACTCAAGTTCACAGATTGCCCATCAGTAGTAGAGGAAGTGAATCAACAGATGCTCAAACGTAACACCATCTTGGCGGAATTTAAACATAATTTATCCGTCGCTCAAGGGCATATGAAAGAGAGTGCAGATGTACATTGCCGAGATGTGACTTTCCAGCCTGGGGATCATGTGTTTTTGAAGCTCCAGCCTTATAGGTTTAAATCCTTAGCCACAAAACATAATGAGAAACTAAGTCCCCGTTTTTATGGCCCTTTTCCCATTGTAGAATGCATTGGACAGGTTGCATATAGGTTGGCTTTGCCTTCTACTACTCGCATTCACACGGTTTTCCATGTGTCTCAGCTCAAGGGTAGCCTGCACAACTCTGTTCCCATCGAGCCCCTTCCCCATGGCTTAACCGAAGACTTGGAACTCACTGTCCAGCCCGAATCTGTTTTAGCAGTCCGCTCTTTAATGGATGGTACCAAAGAAGTGCTTATAAGGTGGCAGACCCTGCCCCTATTTGACGCTACTTGGGAAGCCTATGACCTCATCAACCTCCAGTTTCCTCACTTCCACCTTGAGGACAAGGTGGCTCTTCAAGGGGGGTATTGATAGGCCCCCTATCAATAAAGTTTATCAATACAAGGGCAAAAGGGTGTGAGACGTGTGAATCATCAGTAAAGGTGGTCTCTAAAAGTTGTTATGCCAGTAGGATTCAGTTGGAGGAAAGATACATGGCAGTAGAGTACGTGGCAGGAATATGGGTAAAGTTCACTAGTATATTAAGGCAGTTAGAATAAGGAATAGGGATATCATATTTTCTCTGAAAGGTTGTCAATGGAGGCCCCTAGCTCCTCGAATTGCTAGGACTGTCCCTTCTTGTTTTCTTTACTTTTGGTTGAGTCTGATTGTAATCCTCAGAACTGTTCAATCTTCAATCAAAATATTGTTGGATTACCTAGTTGTTCTTGATTTTATGGATGTGCTGTGTGTGAATTTTTATTGAATTTGCTGGGGTCCCATCAGAAACATATGATAAAATAAAGTCGTGTGACCCAACCTTAAGTGGGATTCACTCCTCCGCACAATTTCCTTCTTGACCTAGCGGGGGGAAAGAAAAACATTTGAAAACAAGGGGTGAACTAGAAATGCTCAGCGAGTGAGGAATGTGTTAGTATGTAATAAAACATTTCAATATATAATAAAAACATCTATGCTTATAGAATTTCATTTTCATAAACACATTTTATAATATAAGCTGTCTTTCATAACAAATGCTAAAGTCTCTCATTGCAAAACTTTTTTCTGAAAACTAATAAAGTAAAATAATCAATACTCATGTTTCTCTAAACATATCATTTCTAAAAACATTTCATATATAAATAACATTTTCATTTATAAATTTCCATTTTAAATAAATGAGATATATATATATCTCCAAACCATCTCTCAATCACATGTGAAAACTCTCACCCAACTAGTACCCAGGGGTAAATCCGTCAAACCCGGCAAGATCTAACATCGCGTGAGTTGAACCACTAAATCCATACTACTAGGCGGAATAGGTCACTGCTCAAACCTTCAACCCAGTGAGACCAAGCATCACTCGGGCCGGCACAATCATATCCTATATAGCAATATCTGCCTCGCTTGGGCCTTCGACCCACTTGGGCCGACAAATCATCAATCATACGCATACGTAGAATCAAATCAATTTCATAAGGGATGGGAACTACGTAAGGTGGTTTGAAAACCACTAACATCTCATACTTATTCTCAAAACATTTTTTTTCATGAGCATATAATAATTTCATAACTTAAAAATATAAATGCAAGTTCTCAAATGTTTTCAAAACTTCTTTTTAAACTATTGCCCAAAAGTATCAAAATTCCATCTTTCTTATGTCAATCAATAATTTCCAACAATAAAATTGCAATAAAGCTCATTTATATAAAGAATCAAACATATTAGGCAATTTAAAACAATAAACAAGTATAAATAAGTATTTAGAGAACACTTTGTTAAAACGAAAGTTAGGGTTTTAGATTTTTCCACTCACTGTTTGGAGCTCAACCCTTAAGTCAAAAAATGACTGAAATCTTCTAACAATGCTGCCGCTTGCCTCCCTATGTACAAAATCCAATAAATCCTCCATACATAAGTCCCCATAAGATAACACCTTAATATTAAAATCATTGGACATTTCACAAACCAAAAGATGAACATAACTTCTTCTTTAACAAAACTGTCTCATAACCGAACATTGGTCGCTCTCGGATTTTTCATAAAAAATTCATTCTTCAATTTAAGCCATAATTTTAATGGGGAATTCTAGAGACACATAAGTTGTTCCCATAATTTGGTCAAGTCATTCCAAAATCAATAACTATTTAAAACACAATTTTCTTTCAACTCATTCAAATCTGCCCACTGTTTCCAGAATTGAGGTTACTCGCTTGGAAAATTCATAACAATTTAACCTTTATTCGAAACTTAACGAAACGCTCCAGAATGAAACTAGACACATATAGGATTCACCATTTAAAATCTCTCTATTTGGTTACGAATAGATAGATCAAATTATTTTCCAAAAACACATATTCTGCAGAAAACGAAAATTCCAGAATTCACAAGGCAAATTCAAAAATCCATATAAAATTCAATCCTTCGATTTTTTGAGTGAAATAAATTTCTAAACACTCCTCAAGAAGCCTACAGCAGGATATCCAAAATTAAGCTTCGATCAAAAACCCAAAACATGTAAACAATTTTCGGAATCCCAGATGGACAGATTTTGCATAATAAACCCTTATATCAAAAATCATATCTTTAACTCATTTTTGTTTAGGAACAACACGTATGTTCTTCTCACACAAAATTATTGAAATCAATCTCCCTATTTTAGTTTTGTTTTCATGAATTTATACCAAATCATAGACAAAGCAATCCAAAAAGAGTTCTTTAAACCAATTGAATCATAAATCACTAAAAAGGGAAAAATCAAGCTTTACTCACCTCCCATTTGCTCAATCTCCCTTTGCTCTTTCTGATCACCGGAATTTGCTCGTCGGCAGCAACTTTTCCAGCCACCTCCGTCGTTCTCTTCTCTCCTCTCTCTCTATTATTGGTTTCACCTTTCTCTCCCTTCTTTCTTTTCTTCTTCCTCTCCTTCTCTTCTTCTTCTTTCTCCCTTTTCTCTCTTTTCTTTCTCTCCTTTTCCTTCTCTCTTTTCCTTCTTCTTATTCTCTGTTTCCTTTTGAGTAATACTACACATACATCATTTTCATACAACATTATATGATAAGATATGATTAGCTAATTTAAAGTTAAAATTAAATTTTCACCCAATCATATCTTACCACATAATGTTGTATGAGAATGATGTATGTGTAGTATTATTCTTTTTCTTTTCATTGAATGGTTACTGTTTATCAAAATATCTAAAAAAATTAATTTAGTCCCCACTTATTTCAGTTATATCCCCCTCAAAATTTTCAATTTCTTACAATTTACCCCCCAGAATCACAAAATAAGATTTAATAAAACTCTATACAAAAAAAAAATACGGGGTATTACATCTTACTTCTGTGAGGTTTTGCAAGATCTTATTAAAACAATTTTGGCCAATTTCCAGTCCATGACCAACATTTTCGTCCGAGAGATCAAGTGAACCTAGCATGGAGAGGTCAAAAATTTCACTTGGAACTAAAACAAGAGAAATTGGATGAAGAGAGATTAAAATGTGTCAATTTTGTGAATTGTACGAAATTGGATGAGATTTCAAAAAAATGAAATCGTTACAAGCAAGATTGAGGCTACGGCGATGATGAAGAAGGAAGATGCTACTGTTGACATGGATTTTGCAATCAGTTGACTAAAACTATGGTCATGACCAATCACATGACCTGTTGATTGATCACAAGTGACCCCATTCCACAAGTAGCAATCACTATTGCAGAACTCTGTTTTTGGAAAAGAATCAACATTATTGCAGTGAATATAGTCAGAATTGTGAATTAAAGAGGCATTCTTGAAATGAAGTAACACAAAACTTTGTTCAGAAGAGCAAAGTTGTGCTGATGGAGAAGAACATCTAGAAGTAACTTAGAAAATAGATTATAGATGGAAGAACAAGAAGAGGAGGCAGAGGACTAGATATTTCCATGGCAAACCCCACATACTTTTCTATCTAAGAAACGAAAGAAAAGATCATTTGAATATCTTTGTTGAGGAGAAATGAATGTGAATATGTGTACATATAGACACTCCTTTCAAGCAAATTAGACCTTGACTATCTCCGATTTATGCTATTCCATTTTAAGTTGTTGGTAATCCACGGTGCCGCTTAGCACTATAATCCATGAACATGGGAAAACTACTGGTTACAAAAAGTGAAAGCACTAATGATCTGATAATTAATTTTAGGGAAAATGGGTCATGAAAGATGATACAATATATATCATCAGGCTTTTCCGTTTAATTTTTGATTGATTTGATAATAGAGGGATTATTTATTACGCCAATAGAAGAACTTAATATGAAAAAAATAAGTGTTGGTTCCACTCAGCACATCATCTTGACTTGAGCAACGACTTGTTTTTGGTCAATGCTTTTATGAAATTCTCACTTACCCACTAAAACCAGTTATCGATCATTCCTGTTCATGATGATACAAGAGACTACTGTATTTGCTATACTTTGTTACAATTCTTGCCAGCGCATTAAAACTTAGGCTCAAGCGCAGTGAAGACTGGCCGACAAGATGATTCCTCCATCCGTAATTTGGCATTCAGTTTCGGTTGACTTCATCCTTAATTTCTTTATACTATCTGTGATAGCTTTGGCCAGAAAATCTGTAGTGCATATATCGATAGATTACTCTTAAAAATAGTTAATTTCTTTTAAGGTAGTATAGCCAGGAACATAAGCAGAATTGCATATTGAGATTGACTGCAATAATAATATTGGATTGAGCTGTAATGAGATGAGATACTCCTATCTGTTAAAGAAATTATCTTACAAGTGTTTAGGGCTTGAGTCATTTGTTTCAGACTTGAAATATAGACTTCTATTCAATACAGTCTAGGAGATATTTCCTAAAACCTCCTAGAAGGTTATAGATCATACTCCTGTGGTTCGAAATTAAAGTAAATACTTTCAATTCTTTAATTACTATGTTCATGGTTGTTCTTCATTTGTAGTAAAATTGGAGTCACTTTGTTCTTATCTTCAGGACATTTTTAGTGCTGGTAGTGAGACATCTGATATAACTGTAAACTGGGCGACAGTTGAAATGATGAAAAATAAAAGAGTGATGGAAAAGACGCAAGCTTGTTAAATGATGAATTGTTTACAAAGTTAAAGACTAACTAGAGTTAGTTTTTGTAACTGCAGTTTGTTAAGCTTAGTAAACAAAATCTGTATAAAAAGGTTCTTTATCTTGCACTTACTCTGGTTCTGCCTTAATTTTACGAAGAGTATTGATTGTTCCCAAGATTACAAAAAATCTCATCAGTATTTCTCATGTTGTTCAAGATAATCCTGTTATGGTTGAATTCTCATTTGGTTCTTGTCTTATTAAGCACAAGACAACCCGAGCAATTCTTCTGCAAGGATACCTTAAAGATGGATTGTATTTTCTGGATCTTTCGGGAATCCTGTCTCATAAAGCTCTCCTCTCAGCTCCACCGTTGCTGACATAGGCTTCTACTTCAACTACTTCGCTGCTTCATCTTGCAATTCATTTTGTCTATCAGCCTTATTCTCCTAATAATACGTGGAATTCGTCTGCTTCTAATAATGATTATACTATTGCTACTGCTTGTGTATCCCTCTCACAGCTTCATGGTAATAAGCTTGGTGATTTGTGGCATCAAAGATTGGGCCATCCTCATTTGGCTGTCCTTCATAAAGTTGTATCTCAGTTTAATAAACCAGTTACTGTATCTACTTCATTTTGTGCCTCTTGTCGTTTTGGTAAACAATGTCAAACTAATTTTCCAAGCTCAATTCGCAAGAGTTTGCAACCTTTAGAACTTGTAAATTTGGATGTTTGGGGACCAGCCCCTATTGCTTCTATTGAAGGATATAAATACTATGTTCATTTTGTGGATGATTATAGTAATTTTACTTGGATCTATCCTCTAAAGGCTAAGTCTGAGACAAAATTGGCTTTTATGGAATTCCATGTCATGGCTGAACGTCAATTCGGTACATCCTTGAAGTGTTTGCAAACAAATTCTGGTGGCGAGTTTCAAGCTCTTTTCCCTTACTTAAAACAACATGGCATCCTTTTTCGGTTGTCCTGTTCATATATGCATCAACAGAACGGCAAGGTAGAGCGAAAGCATCGGCACCTGGTTGAAATTGGCTTGACTTTGCTGGCTCAAGCTTTTATGCCACTCAAATACTGGTGGAATGCTTTTCAGACTTTAGTTTTCTTGATCAACCGTCTGCCTACTATTACTCTAAATCACATGTCTCCTTTTGAAGTTCTGTTTCATCAAAAACCAAACTACTCTTTTTTGAAAGTATTTAGGTGTGCCTGCTACCCTTACCTTCGCCCATACAATCGTCACAAGTTTGATTTCCATACTTCTTGCTGTGTTTTTATTGGTTATAGTCTCTTTCATAAGGGATATAAGTGTCTTCACTCCTCTGGCAGAGTCTATATTGTCAAGAGTGTTTCCTTTAATGAAAATTATTTTCCTTTTTCTGACTCTTTTCCTCAATTTAACACAGATTCTTCTTCTGCTGAGACGTGTCCTGCACCTGTCTCTTTTTGGCCTATTGTCACTTCTTTTCCATATTCAAAGCCACCTACACTTACTATTTCTACTCCTTCTCATACGTTACCTACAAAGAGTCTTGTGTCTTCACCTTTATCCATTACACCTACTCTCTCACATGCATCACCAAATGAGTCTTCTTTGTTTCATCTACTGCACCAACTTCACATAATTTGCCCCCATGTATCTCTCCTCCTTTAGAAGTCCCTTTTTACATTGAATTAAATATTCCTCCTCCTGCTATTCAAAGACTTTCTGCCATAATAACAAGATCACAAATAGCTCGCTGTCCCTCTTCTGCGGCAGCCTTATTTGCTGCCACTTGTATCAATCCTCATGAGCCATCTTCAGTTGCTGAAGCTCTTGCTTCTCCTCATTGGTTTGCTGCTATGACAACTAAATTTGACGCACTTCAGAGTAATCAGACTTGGATTTTAGTTCCACGTTCTCCTGATATGCATATTGTTTCAAATAAATGGGTATTCAAAATTAAATACAATGCCGATGGCTCAGTTCAAAGGTGTAAGACTCGTCTTGTTGCAAAAGGATTTCAACAGCAACCTGGTCTTGATTTTGCTGAAACTTTCAGCCCTATTGTGAAACCTGTTACTGTGTGTGATTCTCATCTTGGCTATCACTCATCACTAGGATATTCAGCAACTTGACGTTAATAACGCCTTTCTTAATGGCGATTTGCAAGAAGTAGTTTATATGCATCAACCGGCTGGTTTTGTTGATCCAAATTATCCTGGTTATGTTTGCAAATTATCCAAGGCATTATATGGCTTGAAACAGGCCCCTCATGCCTGGTTTGATAAACTCAAATTTGCCTTACTCGAATGGGGTTTTCGGAATGCAGTCTCTGACACCAGTCTGTTTATTTTTCAAATTCTGCTTATGTTATCTATATGTTGATCTATGTGGATGATATCTTGGTCACTGGTGATGATCCTCAGCTTATCTCAGATTTGAATGGTAAGTTTTCGCTTAAAACTCTTGGTTCTCTGAGTTACTTTTTGGGTATTGAGGCTTACTGTGATGAGTCAGGCCTTTATCTAACTCAAGCCAAATATATTAAAGATTTAGTTTGCAAAACTAATTTTTCTGAAGCTCATGCTTGTCCTACGCCCATGGTCTCTCATTGTAAGCTGGCTTTGCATGATAGTGAGTTATTTAGTGAGCCTTCTTTGTATCGTAGGACTATTGGTTCTCTTTAGTACCTCACCATTACTAGGCCCAATATTGCCTTCACTGTCAACAAGTTAAGCCAGTATTTGCAGGCACCTACGGTTCAGCACTGGCAAGCTTGTAAGCGTCTACTTCGTTATCTTAAAGGTTCTCTTCACTTTGGCTTACATCTCTAGGCTGCTATTCCTCGATTGAAGGTTATTCTGACACCAATTGGGCTAGTAACCTTGATGATCGTCGCTCCACTAGCGGCTATTGTATTTACCTTAGTGGTAATCTAGTTCAATGGAGCTCTAAAAAGCAACATGTTGTTGCTCGTTCCTCTACTGAATCTGAATATCGCTCTCTTGCTCAAGCGGTTACTGAAGTTATTTGGCTGCAACAGTTGTTTCAGGAGCTTGGTGTTTCATTAATGCATTCCACACCAGTTCTCTGGCTGATAATATGAGCGCTGCCTCTCTTGCTTCTAATCCTGTTCAACATGCTTGCACCAAACATATTGAGATTGATCTTCATTTTATTCGCGAAAAGATTGCCTCAAAAGCCTTAACAGTTCAGTATATTTCTTCTGCTCATCAACTTGCTGATATTTTTACTAAACCTCTGCCTATTACTCAATTTGGTCTTTTTCGCGACAAGCTCATCAAGGCTTCTCCTTTGTTTCGCTTGAGGGAGGATGATGACTAGTTGAAGTTGCATTGTTATGGCATTGCTATGAAGTTGCTATGGCATTTTTCGGATGTTGTTGTTTTGCACTGCTGGAGTATTCTAGACTGATACAACTATATTTTTCTAGAAGATATGTGCAGTTTTGCGTTGTTGTTTGGTGTTGCATTTTTAGGATTTTATTCTACTGTTGCATCTGCTCTCTGTAAGCTGTGTTCTGAATGAAGCTTCTGTTCTATAGGATTCTACTGCATCAATTCTGTTTTACTCTGTTAAGCAAGCTAAGACAAGGTTTTGTCTAGCTTGAGGGAGGATGTTAAATGATGAATTGTTTACAAAGTCAAAGACTAACTAGAGTTATTTTTTGTAACTGCAGTTTGTTAAGCTTAGTAAACGAAATCTGTATAAAAAGGCAACACTTTTACTGTTTTCATTAAGTGAAAAGATTAATAAAATCTTTCTCTTCTCAACAGTTTTTTATTTCTTTAAAGCTGAGGTGAGCGAAGTGTTTAATAGAAAAGGCAAAATTGATGAAGCAGCCATGCATTTATGAAATGAAACTCTTGAAGTTAGTGATAAAAGAGACTCTGAGACTGCGTCTTCCTATTCCTTTATTGGTTCCAAGAGAATGTGGTAAGAGATGTGTGATTAATGGATTTGATATACACATCAAAACTAGAGTCATTGTCAACGCATGGGCAATTGGAAGAGATCCGAAATATTGGAGTGAACTTGAGAGCTTTAGTCCAGAGAGATTTCTGGATTGTTCTGTTGACTTTAAGGGGACTAATTTCAAATACATCCCATTTGGTGCTAGTAGGCGAACGTCTCTAGGAATATCATTTGGTCTTGCTGACACTAAGCTTCCACTAGCAATGTTATTGTACCATTTTGATTGGAAACTTCAGAATGGAATGAAACTTGAAGATTTGGATATGACTGAGAAATTTGGTTCAACAACAAGAAGAAAAGAGGATCTTCACATCATTCATGTTCCTCATCATCCTTCCACAAATGCATAAGCTTGCTGGAAGAAAAAGGGTAGCATTTTTAGTACGTAAATAACACTATGTTCCTAAGGTTTTTAATTATTCATAAAACTCTATGTGGTTTAGGGAATTATAAAAAATGCTCCAGCTGTTTTTGAACGGATGTATGTAATGTCTCTCTTTCTAGCTAATATACTTTTAAAATAACAGTAAAAACTCATTAAATATATATAAGAAAATATATAAACGAGTATAAAAGTATGGGCCTATATTTAATTTTCTTTATACACAAACTTTACATAATATAATAAAGTCTCAAAATATTAACTTGACAGTTTTGCCCAGCCCTTCTACTGCGTGATGTTCCTAGTGACCGCATTTCACCTGTTACCTGCAAAAACATTGAAAACAACAGGGTGAGCATTAATTGCTCAGTAAGTAAACCTACTATGCTACCCTTCTCTCTCCGTCGCTTAAATTCTGAATTTCTTTCCTTACTTCACATTTCTCCATTATTCTCTACTCTTTCTCTACTCTTACTCTATTTTTCTCTCTGTTCTTCTCTCTGTTCTTTCTCTACTCTAATTTCCCACTACTCAGATAATGGGTATGGTAGTATGCATATATATAATGCAAATGCACAAATGTATAAAATATGCATTTTCTTTTCTATTTTTCTTATTCTGTTTTTCTTTCTTTACTGGGCTTCTTTCTCATTCTTTTCTTATTCTTTTGCCGATCAGACTCGGTTGAGGCATGAATTTGGAACCTTGGCCATGTGAGTGTATTCTTCTTTCTTGGGTACAGCTCTCATCCACATGCACTCTTACGGACTGTACCAATTCTTCTTTCTTCTTCTTAGGCCGCTCACTAAAGGCGGCGCGCATGTGGGGAAAATTCTTCTTGTCACTCACGGTTCCCCATCGCCACAACCTTTTCTTCTTTTTATCTTTTCACACTTTTTTAAATAAAAATCAGATTTGAACTTCTTTAATATTCTCATTTCTTTCTATTTACTCTTTACCCTTCTTTAGTGCTTTTGCATGCTCTTATGGATATGTATGCATGTAGATGGTTTCATGCTTATAATTCTTTCTAAATTCACATGTTTAAATGCAATTATGCAATATGGAATGCAAACATGTAATTCTCTACCATATACAAACTCATCTTAATATAACACATAATCATACTCATATAAACACTTCTCTTTGACATTTCATCAAATAACTTATATGCACAAAGCAACTCTAATTTGACTATACTTCCATCTCTTTTCTAAGCCACCAAAAAGTGGGAATGAAACCCTCCATATTTAAAACCAAATCTGGCCAAAATAAACACTCCAAAATTTTCACTTCAATTTTTCCAAATTTCATCTAAACATTCATCAAGCATCAAATACACCAACACAACTTCTCATGGATAAGTTATAATCATCATTCAACATCAAATCCATCAACAATTCTACATATAACACACACACACACACACACACACACACACACACACACACACACACACACACACACACACACACATATATATATGCATAAAAGAAAATTCTCTATACAACATAACTTAAATCATACTTAGGGTAGGATTTACTTACCTTATTTGTGAGCAATCCAACCCTTTAAGAATCTTTTTTGATCAAACTCTCTTCCTCTTAAATCCTATGAACACAAACCATCAAAATTCAACACTTTAAAAATTAAAACTCACCTCTTAGTGCAAGGATCTTACCTAAAGATGCTTGGGATTGAAAATCCACTCAAAAATACCCAAAATCTATGAATTTCCTTTGAAGAAGAATTGAAGAAATTGTGAGAATATGGAGGTGAAGGTGGCGTGAAAATGGATGAAGAGTGGCTAGGGTTTCACTCTTCAATCCTTGATATAACATAAAATTATATATTAGTTTCCCATTTTGCCCTTGCACTCTATTTAAAATTTCATCTATGTCCTTTGTCAATTATCATAATGCCCTCATTTTTATTGCATTCTCCATGAACTTCTATCTCTTTTCACTCCCCACAATTTCAACTAATTATGAGTGAAAAGACCATTTTACCCCTAATGAAATTTTAAGGCATTTACTTCACATTTTTTCAAAATAACTTTAACAAAAATCAACTAAGGGTATAAGAGCATAAATTAAATTATATACCTCTATGTGGGCGTTACAATGTAATAATAAAAAAAAATGAACATCATCCATGGCATGTTGCATAGGCTCAAGCATTGCAATATATATCTATTTGTTTAGTACTTCATCTTTATTGTTTGCAAGTTAAGCAGTATCGACGATATTAGTCTTTCTTTAAATTTTTTAAACTATTTGTATAATTTGGTAAATAATAAGATAAATCATAATGTTTTATAGTAACGAGTTTCGTACTAAGACAATATCAGGAGATTCAAGTGATATTCAAATGACCATTGGCTAATGTTGAGGGGAGGTTAGTGATATATATTAGATGGTGTTAAAGATCAGAGGAGTAAAACAAAAAAATAAAAATAAAATAAAGAACAGTAAAATATGTGAAGAATATCAATCACAAAGGAACACAATATTTTAAGTGGTTCGATATAACTTGCCTACATCAACAAATGAGAAAGATCAACTATAATTTTCAAAACACAATACATGAGTGCATCACACCATGAACCTGGTATTTAGGCAGAAATTCCACCCTGTGGTGTTATCAGTACAACACTATCAATCTTTTACATAGGCAGACATCTTGTTCCTATGGTGTTTAATACCCCTTAGTATTTACCTGATACCTAGAGCTCTCGACCCTATGGTACCCTTACATCAAAACCCTTGTGTCCTCACATTCTTTCTTTCTCTTATTCCTATTAAAATTGAATTTGTCCCATATTGCTAAGTTGGTAGACTATTATTGTATATATATGTGGTTGGGCTCCCTCTTCTCTTGAGTTAATTTTTGGGAGTGAGTTCTACCCAAGTCATTTCATCCTTTATCATGATATCAGAGCCACGTTTGTTTAAGGTGATGATGGGTTTTTGGACCTGGCCTTGCACGTCGAGCGTGAGGGAGGGTATTGAAGTTGGTGGACTATTAGAGTATATATATGTGGTTGGGCTCCCCCTTCCCTTGAGCTAATCCCAAGCCCACTTTATCAATTCTCTATCTTATAACATTGAATTGGTTCTAACCCCGCTATTTATAGGAAGAAAAAGACTTTTTTTTTCTACGAGGATTCATATTTCAAATCCTAATATGACTCCTCTAATTTAATTCATTCTCCTATTTTAACTCTAAATAAAATCCTAAATCAATTCTTCTTTCCTAATACAACTCAAAGTAAAGGAAAACAAATATTCTCAATTGCAAATTCCTAAAATAAAAATTTACCTAAAACTTAAATTCTTTTTTTTTTTCTTGCTTTTTTTTTCTTCAGCAACATCTTTATCAATTAGCAAAAAGTGTTCATATTCCAACAGATGCTAATAAAAGACTCAATTGATCGAGGATTAAACATCTTTGACAAAGACTATAAAATTGTATTGGATTGGATAAACAAATGTACTTAACCTGAGAACATATGTACTAGAGCCGAGAAATCAATATGTAGTAACATATGGATATATCCTGTGTAATGTTACTTGAATAGGAGGTGCTGGTTATGTTACCATTTCACTACCAACATAGTAATGTTAGTGGCATTGGCAACATTACCATTGCACATCACCACAGTAACAGCTTACAGGAAGGGGAGCAACTGGTAATGTTAACATTGCTCTGTCTTATCATGGTAATGTTACAAGAAGAAGAGGAGACGCCACTAATGTTAGTGTTGCATCTTTTGGTCACTGTTATTTTACCTGAAGAAAGCATGGTGCTACTGTTCATCTATAACAGAATTTTTACTTGATAAAAAACTTAGATAAGATCTACTATTGTTAATTCCTCTCGGTTGTTAATAGGAGTGGTCATTGGAGGGTATATCCAGTCGTTAACTTCAGGGCCTTGGAGGACTAGTCGAGGTGCACGCAATATTTATTTGATATTTAATTTTTCAGAAAATGACCTAAAAACTAAAAACAAGTGCAATATTTATCATGCTCTATTTATACTATTTTAAATTTAATTTAATTAAAAAATAATATGCAATCAATATTAAAAATATAAGTGCTGATTCCACTTAGCAGACCATCTCTTGACTTCACCAAAGACTTCTTTTGGTCAATGTGCTCCCAAAATTCTATCTTACACACTAAGACCAGATATTAATCAGCTATGTCCATGATGATAAAAGACATTTGTAGTTGATTACTATATAATTTGTTGCAATTATATCTATTGTATTTTAAGTTCAGCTCATACACGACGTGAAGACCGGGGTAAAGGATTATTCCATCCATAATTTGGCTCAAAGATTTTAACTTTGCCATTGCACTGTATCATCATATAAGTAAGACTGTAATCCAATTGTTGGATCCAACACAAATTAAGTAGAGAAATTAACCTCTCATCTCTATACATTGATCACCATCTCCCAACTCTCATGGAGCTTCAAAACCCCTATTTTCTAATCCCACCTTCATTGCATTTAAGGATTCCATAACCAAGAAATCAAGTTTAAAATTACCACTAGGGCCATGGTAGGTGCCACTTATTGGAAACATGCTCCATTTCATTGGAGTTTTGCCTCATCGCAAGCTAAGAGATTTTGTAAATAAATATGGTCCTTTTATGTACTTACAACTCAGCCAAATTCCAACTGTTATCATTTCTTCACCTGAAGCCGCTCAAAAAGTGATGAAAAATCATGATGCTAACTTTGCTCAAACGCCTGCTGTTCTTGTTGCAAATATTATAGCTTATGGTTGCACAGACATTGTGTTTGCACTATATGGGTACTACTAGAAGTAGTTGCGAAAGATTTGCATTAGTCAACTTTTAACTCCAAAATCTGTGCTATCTTTCAGATCAATCCGGGAAGAGGAGGTGTCCAATCTTGTTCGATGGATTTCTTCAAGGGCAGGAAGAACGATTAATCTTAGCAGAGAAATCTTTTCGATGACGTTTGGCATCACGACGAGAGCGGCGTTTGGAGGAAAAATGAAAGATCAAGAGGCATTCTTATGTGCTATTGAAGAGGGTATAGATTTGGCAGGAGGTTTCACTGCGGCTAATGTGTTTCCTTCCTTCGAATTTATTGACTCAATCAGTGGGGTAAAGAGTAAAATTAAGGAGATTCATGACATAGTTGATAGATTGTTTGACGCCATTATCAATAAGCATAAAAGTAGAAGGGCAATAAAGAAGACAAATGATCGTGAAGAAGATGATGATCATAAAGATTTCTTAGACGTTCTTTTGAACTTGCAGAATAATGGAGACCATGAATTTACCTTAAGTAATGACAACATCAAAGCAGTCATCATGGTTAGTATGTTTAATTATCTTTTATTCATATGAGTTTCAACATAAGTTCAAACTGATTTTTTAGTAACATCTATGCTAGAATATTTACCTGTTTTAACTCTGCTATTTTAGGACGTATTCACTGCTGGGAGTTGATAATGAGTGAAGTCTTTACACTATCGTTTTAGCTTTAATACATCTAGCATTTTTGGCCATTGATCTCCAAGCAATCTAACGGCTGAAGACTTACTGCTGGTCAACCATATAAATGTTGAAGTCTTTCCCCATTCTGAATACTCTCTTTTTGATCAAAATAGCTCAATCAAAACTACTCTACTAGGGTTCTTTGTATAGTACTTTGCTCTTGTGTAAATCGGTGGTTGATCCACCCATCAAAGTTGTGTTTCTTTGTGGTGTAGAGAATCAAGTTAGAATTCTCCTTAGGATTATAGATTTACGGGTATAGAAGTAAAGTCCTTGTGATTCTTGTTAGTAAGGGCTTGAAAGGAAGATTGAGTGGTGTTTTGTAATCTTTAGTGACAATAATAATAGTGCAGCGAGCCTACATATTCTGGAGCTCAACGTGGACATAGCTTGTTCAATCTTGAACAAGTGAACCATGGTAAAAAGATTGTGTGTTCTTCTTTTTCTGTTTTGTTATTTGATCTTTGTTTGGTTGGTTGGCTAGAATCAAAATCTTGGTTAGCTAGACTCGATTTTACAACAGTGGTATCAGAGCTGAGTTTATCGTTCCTCGAATTTTACATTCTCGGGTTTTTCTTGATTTGGAAAATTTTCTAGGGTTTTGGAAAAATTTGGGGCTTTTTCAATTAAGTAGCTTCAAGAGTCCTAGGGTTCCAAATACAACAAGAATTTCCAAAAATCTCAGTGAGTCGAGTCCATAATCATAATCTTGATTCTTTAGGGTTTGCTTCTGAACCCAAACCATGAGCATCACGTGCATGAAAATTTCCCAATATGATGGGAAGATTGATTTCAACACCTGGGAAAAGAAGATGAAGGCCCTCTTATCCCACAATAAGGTGGGAATTGCTCTGGAGAAGGATGACACCAAATGGCCTGAAGAAAATCTGAAGAAGAAGGTAGAGGTAGACAAAGAAGCCTATAATTTGATCATCATGAACCTGTCTAACACTGTGCTGTGAAAGGTGGATGGCTTGGAATCTCCAATCGCTCTCTAGGTAAACTCGAATCTTTATATGCTCTCAAGCCAGCACCTAATTTAGCTTTCTTAAAAGGTGCATTGTTCTCATATAAAATGGACATAGCTAAATCTTTAGATGAAAACTTGGATGAATTTCTAAAGATGACCCTAACCCTAAAAGGTACTAACCAAGAACTAGAAGACTCTAGTCTTGCCATGATTCTGTTAAACTCCCTGCCAGAAGAGTACCCAGTTGTAAAGAATGCCTTACAGTATAGTGGCATAGTACCTAGTGTGGATTTGATAGTTTCCAAGCTAAAATCTAGGGAACTAGAATTGAAAATTCAAAAAAGAAATGGTATTAATCTATTTGTAAAAGGTAGGTTTGATACTAGACAATTTGGTAAAGAAACTGGAAAGAACTCTCAGAGAAACTTAGGCTCTAAAACCAGAAAGAAAGGTAAGGGGAATGGGAAACCTAGGGGAGAATATAGGAAGTGTTTATTTTGTAATAAAACAGGACATCTTAAGAAAAATTGTTACGAATGGATTAAGAAGAACAAACAGGCTAGTATTGAAACCAACCTAGCTAGCACTAGCAGTAACATTGAGATCTCTAAAGCACTTACTATTTCTAACACGGCTAGAGGTAATGAGTGGGTGCTAAACTCAGGTTGTACCTTCCATATGAGTGCAAATGGAAATTGGTTCCAAAGACTTAAAATTGGTGAACAAGAAACTGTATTCATGGGTAATAACCATTCTTGTGAGGTTCAAGGCATAGGTGACATAACCATTTGATGGTAAGGTGGTTCGACTCACTAGGGTTAGATACGATAAGGTGGTTTGACTCACTAGGGTTAGATACATACCTGACCTTAAGTGTAACCTGATTTCACTTGGAACATTAGATGAATCTAGTTGTTCCTATAAAGCACAAAATGGCTGTCTAGAAGTGTACAAAAATGGAAATGTATTGATAAAGGGTGTTAAAAAGAATGGCCTTTATATCTTATGTGGTCAATACTATTCTGATGTGTTTAATACTACTCTACTGTCCACCAATGTATCTGCTGTAGAGAAATGATATTTAAGATTAGGCCACATAGGCTAAAATAGCATGAATACATTGAAACAGCAAGGTTATTTTGGTAATGATTTTATTTCTGATTTAAGTTTTTGTGAAACATGTGTTCTTGGGAAACAACACAGGATGAGTTTCCGCAAAGGAACTTATCTTGCTGCAAAGTGTTTGGATTATGTGCATGCTGACCTTTAGGGTACTAAAAGTGTCAAGTCACACGGAGGGAACACATACTTCCTTTCCATTGTAGACAATTACAATAGGAAGCTATGGGTATACCTTCTTAAGACTAAGGATGAAGCTTTGACTAAGTTCAAAGGCTGGAAAATCGTGGTAGAAACCTAAGTAGATAGAAAAGTCAAGGCCTTTAGGACTGATAATAGGTTGGAGTTCTGTAACCTAGAGTCTGATACTTACTATAGCAAAAAGGGGTATTAAGGCATAGGACTGTCAGGGGAACCCCACAACAAAATGGGATTGCAGAGAAGATGAACAAGACACTTCTAGAAAAGGTTATATGTCTCTTATTTACTGTTGGTTTGTCCAAAACTTTCTAGGGAGAAGCCCTAACCAATGCAGCTTACCTAATCAATAGGAATCCTTCAAGTTTGATAGTCTTTAAATGTCCAGAATATAGATGGTTAGGAAGGAGACTAAACCTTAATTACCTAAGGGTGTTTGGGTTTGCAGCTTATGCACACACTCGAGATGGCAAGTTAGAGCCTAGGTCCCTTAAATGTGTCTTTTTAGGGTATCAAGAAGGGACCAAAGGCCATAGGTTATGGGAAAAGGATGCCCCAGGGGTTCGGGTAATAATCAGTCGAGATGTAGTCTTTAATGAGATCATGTTTCCTTGCAAGCTTTCAAATGACAATGTAGGTAAGTCAAGAAGTGATCCTAAAATGCCTGATCAAATAGAGAGATCTTAGTTTGAGGTAAAGCCAGCAAGCTTGACAGAGCACCCTGAACAACCGGAAGCTTCTGAACCACAAAATCCTTCACTGCCCAACAATGAAGACCAAGATAAAGAAAGGAAACAACCTGAAAACATTGATGAAGCCCATAATGAAAACCTGGCAGAATACCAGCTAGCAAGAGATAGAGTTAAGAGGGAGATAAGGCCCCCTAACAGGTTCAGCTATGTTGACCTAATCTACACAGCCTTGGTTGTTGGTGCAGAGATACAAAGGTCTGAACCTGAAACCTATCAAGAAGCCATCAACTCTAAAGATAGAGATAAATGGCTGGAAGCCATGAAAAAGGAAATGAAGTCTTTAAAGTTGAACAAAATCTGGTCTCTGGTCCCAAAACCAGAGACTAGTAGGCCGTAAATGACTTTACAAATTAAAGGAAGGCATAACAAGCTCAAAGCCACCAAGATTCAAAGCTAGACTTGTGGCTAAGGGCTTCACACAGAGGGCGGGTATTGAGTTTACTGAAATCTTCTCACTTGTAGTTAAGTTTAAGACAATTAGGCTAATGCTATCAATTGTGGAACATTATGATTTGGAATTGGAACAATTGGATGTCAAAACAACATTCTTACATGATGAATTGGAAGAACAAATATTTATGAGTCAACCTACTGGGTTTAGAGATAGGAATTTGCCTGAACATGTTTGTCTATTGCATAAGTCCCTGTATGGCCTTAAACAACCCCATAGGTAATGGTACAAGAGATTTGACTCATTCATAGTAGGAGTTGGTTTACTAGAAGTGAATATGATAATTGTTTCTATTTTGCTCACATAAATAACATGCCTAGATACGTTGTTGTATGTAGATGACATGCTATTAATATGCAAATCTAAGTCACACATAGATGAACTAAAAGAAAAACTAAGTGCTGAGTTTCATATGAAAGATTTAGGGTCTAGAAAAAGGATTTTGGGGATGATAATTGATAGAAACAGAAAATTAAATAGGTTGAAACTTCACCAACTACCATACCCGCAAAAACTGACTTCTAGGTATGGAATGACTAAATCTAAACCTGTTAACATACCCTTAGCAGGTCACTTTACATTGAGTAAATTACAGTGCCCCAAAACTAATGCTAAAAGGCTAAAAATGGAAATTATCCCCTACTCAAGTGCCATAGGATCTGTCATGTACTCCATGATAAGCACAAGACTTGATCTTTCATTTCCAATATCATTACTGAGTAGGTTTATGTCAAATCCAGGAATAGAACATTAGGTTGCATTAAAATTGTTGCTTTGATACATTAACAGTACAATGTGTAGACTCTGATTTCACAGTTGATCAAGACTCGAGGAAATCCACTATAGCTTACTGCTTCACCTTAGGAGGCAACTGCATCAGTTGGAAATCACAACTACAACCATTGGTTGCTCTGTCCACAACATAAGCTAAGTATGTGGTAGTGACTGATGCATTTAAGGAGGCAATATGGTTGCAAGAGATCTTGAAAGAAGCAAGTTTGATGGATGAACTTGTGATTGTGTATTCTGACAGTCAAAGTGCCATTCATCTAACTAAAAACCCTTTACATCATGAGAGGACGAAGCACGTAGATGTGAAGTATCATTTTGTCCGAGACCAAATCACAAAAGGGAATTTGAATCTGTTGAAAATACCAACTAAAGGGAACCCAACTGATATGGGAACAAAAGTGGTAACTCTTGCAAAGTTCAAGCATTGCTTGAACCTACTGCACATCAACTGATCTTATAGAGTTGAGAAAGAGTATGTGAGAAGCTTGCTACACAAATTTGTTGTTGTCTGGAAAAAGAATAAGGCTTCAAGGTGGAGATTGTTAATGAGTGAAGCCTTTACGTTGTCGTTTTAGCTTCAATACATCTTGCATTTCTGGCCATTGATCTCTAAGCAATCTAATGGCTGAAGACTTACTACTGGTCAACCATATAAAAGCTGAAGTCTTTC